GAGAAGGACGGGGGGATAGAGGTATGGTTGGATCTGAATGATTCAGGGATACATACATACCGTGGGTGGGTGTTCAAAAAAGGATAAGTAGCGCTCCACACAAAAAAAGAGCCCTCTTCTACGGCTTCGTATTTTCTTTTACGCCCTAATTCGCACACTGGGATTGTCTCTTGATATATATACCACCGCAACCCGCAATCCTCCAAAACTACCCTAACCACCTTGTTTACTCTTGTTTATCCCCCGCCTATGTCTCCAAACAGTTACTACTCCCTAGGCTCGCTCTCTCTTTCGCCAAACTGCCTTCTTTCCATACTTCTTGTTTTAGAGCCGGCCCAACTACGGACTAATATTCACATAGGCCTGGGCCTCACAGCCCATCCTCAGGGTGGGGTAGAGCCTGGTCCACACGGTGCTGGTATTTCTTTATGTTACCAAAATATTAATAATAACTTTTAATACATTTCAATAATTTAAAACTATTCATTGTTAACAGTACATAAGTTACTAAGTTTTACTGTGTCTATTACATTAAATAATAAAAAGGCCAAAAGTCATTTTTTGTCCTTCTAATTTAGCACTTCAACCACTTTTGACCATATAGTTTCAATTCTGTCAATTTTGTCATTGTAGTTTTGTATTTGTAGCAATTCAAAGACATATTAGTATTCTTGTCAATTTCCAACAAAAAACCCTTGAGTATAAAAGTTTTTCTTAAATTCTCCAAATTTCATATTATGGCTCGAAATTTAACCACTAATCTCACTTTTTTGAAGAACTCTAAACCCAAATGACCAATTTTAAGCCATAATATGAAATTAGGGGAGTTTCAGACGAGGTTTTATGCTCAAGGATTTTGGGTTGACAAAATTGCCCTTTGCATTGTCAAAGAAATTGACAGGAATACTAACTTATCCTTAAATTACTACAAATACGAAACTACATGGTCAAAATTGAAACTATAGGGACCAAAAGTGACTTTTAGCCTAATAAAAATTGTCAGTTAACTTGCAAAATTTTAAAGAACTGAACTTGTATACTGATTAAAAAAAAAGACTTTTATTAAAACACATTAAAAACATAATTTAGCAAGTCTACGCAAATGTGAGTTAGGTCAGTTGACTTGTTCATACTCAGATTATTGAGGGTTCAAGTCCCTCCTTATGCTCCTAGATAGTTTTTATGTGAGGTTGGAAGTCAACCAAAACCAAGACGGAACGAAATGAACAAGCCGAGGATGACATATGACGTTGAGTATTTGCTTGTTTGTAAAATTGTGTTGGTGCATACCTGCAACTGCAATGACTTTTACTTTAATGATATGTTTACTAATTCGTAATTGGGTTTGGATGAATTGAATTGAGGATGAGTTGGAATATGGATTCCCATTAAACTTGTTTACTAGACTATGTGGAATCGGGATAAGAATGGTATTGATTCCTTATAAGTTGTTTACTAAATTCTCATGAATTGGAATTGAAACTAGTTTGAATACTAAAATGCACTTGTTCTAAATAAATTATAGGTTTAAAGTGGATGGTAAATTCGGAATTTTAAATTTTATGTGAGAATATAATTGGTAAAAAGGATAAATTCTTGATCCAAGAGTCCAATTCCTCAAAAATCAAGAGTTGAATTCCAAATTTTATGTGGGTACCGTTTGCTCTTTCATTCCTTTATGTGAAGTAAACAAAAGAGTAATCTATAATCGGAGTTCAACTCTTTATTTTGATTCCCATTACGATTAGTAAACATCCCATAAATAATCAAGGAAAAAACTGACCTTTTTCCCGGTCCTTTTACAATTGCTAATTGGAAATCTTAAAACACATGAAAACACCTTCCCAACAATCTTGTGCGCTTGATCATAATTCAAACAAGGCTAATTGCAAAACTACATTTTAAGAGGTACAAATGTGTTAAGCAGACTAGATCCAATTTTCAGCAATGTTACAGATCATTTATTTCCATGACTTACATTTATACATTAATTGGAACCAGCACTGTTGAGTTTATTCTTCAACCAACCAAAGCACCTGAAGCAATTATTAGCTCATCCTTCACAAGAAGAAGTGCAGATTTTCCTGGTTCTTTGACGCCTCATTACCAACTAATGGGTCAAAGATTTTTTTCCATCCGTTAAAATCTGTAGGGGAGGCAGCATCAGGCAATACAAATCCATTAAGAAAGAAAGTAGGCGTTGCATACACCCCTCTTGAAGCGCTATACTGCATGTCAAAAGACATTCAACATGAAAAAAACAGATTGGGCAAACTTGATGAGTGATTCCAAAACTCAATAAAAATGAATCAAAGATACTGATAAACACTGGTAGTTAATATATCCTGAAAAATGTGCCTGATTATCACACCAATTGAAACATATGCATAAAAGAAATGAACATATACTACATTACCTTGAAGGAAACCCTTGTTTTGAGATCCGTTTTCCGGTCATTGAGGCCGGATTCAATGTCACTATGATAGGAGTTCCCAACTACTTCCGTGACAGAGTTGACAATGTCATTTGCAACTGCAACTCTGGAAAGGTTGCGAGTTTGAGCATTATAATACTTCTCCTGTTTAATTTTGTGGAACAAGTTAACAACAGATCAATATTATTGGCTAATAAACTATCAAGCAACCAAACCTTTTTCTACACAAATGAATGAAAGTAACAGATTTCATAGGAGAAATAAGAGAATGAAATTAAATGAAAAATGAAGTACAGAATTAGCACCCAAAAAGAATTTGAATATGCTATAAACAAACAAGTAAGTGTTAACCTGATTCTTGAAGAACCACTCCAACAATGGGAATGTAGCAGAAGCGTTCAGCTGATTTACGATGTGTAGTGCACGAGAACTAACAAAAGCATTGTCATGGTATCTGCAGTTCAGATTGACAGACAAATGGGCAGATAGATCAGGATCATGAAAAATTTACCAAGGTCTCAATTATTAATTTTGGAAATTAACCCTGGTGAATTCAATTGGTCAGTCTAATAGTTTCTTATTCACTTTTAAGTTTTCTTTATAATATCTGAATTCAATTCAAGCCCAGAAATGATTGGTCATTGGCAATTAAAGAGAATCATAACTACCAGTTAAAACATAAATCTGGCGTTTTATATAATAAATTAAGCCATGCAGTCGGTTTCTCCAAAGCTATGCTTGTTTGATTGACCGTTTCGTTCTGCTTCTTATCATTTTTCCAATACGTTTTCTGAAAAACAAAAGGGGAGCCGAAAAGCAAAGAGAGAGAGAGGGAGAGAAATCTGTCAACTTACGGTAACGGTAACAGGTGAACCACCACCGAAATGCGAGGAGCGTAGTGCTGGAAGGCTTGTTTGAGGGGTGGCCAGGCGTCCCTACTGTCTGGGCACACCGGGTCGAAGAACGCTTCAATCAGGATCGAATCCGAGTCAACTCGGGGATGGCCGTACACAAACCCATCGTATTTTGCAGGGGGTAAGTTTTGTGCACATCCCTTCAAAACAAAGACCACCAACAACACCCAAGCTGTTTGTAATAACATAAGGATTCTGTGCTTTCCTTCCTGCATTTTTTTCGTCGAGCGGATTATGCAAGGAAGGTAAATCACCGGAGCTCCTAGACCAAGAATAGATAGATAGATATACACTGCCGGCTACAGCAACGACTTCTTCCCCTTTATTTTGTTTTTTACTTTGACTATTCAGAAAAATATTTGATTATTTCATGCCCGCTGAAATTGTATCTTCCCTGAATTTTGACAAAATGAAACAGTAGAAAGACGTTGTACCTTCCCTGGTTTATGGATAAATTAGATGGTAAGATTTCCAATGCAACCATGCGGAAAAATCTATTGGGTTGGTGACGTTCAAGTCAAATCCAATTAGTTTTAAGTTTGGGCCTATCGGGTAGCCCGCAGTGTATTGTGGATAATGAAAGCCGAAACGAGGGATAAGTGTGTTGCAGAGCCCAGCGCACATAATGAGGCCCACGCTGACTTGAAAAGTTTCCAAAACTTGCGAAATACGAAACGCGTGAAGAGGGAGCCAGCCAAGGAAAATGAGTGAAAGAGAAATGAGGTATCCATGATATCGATCTCCTTCCAAATGGAGCCGTTACGCACCCAAAAAAAGGGATACACACGTCACCTTTGTTTACTGTAAACCACCCCGGCAACACCTCACTTTCCCACCTCAGATCCATCTCCCTAAACGATCATATTTAATTCCCCAGCTTTCACTGCCTTTTCTGTTTCGGTTTTGTTTTGTTTTCTAGAAGGTTACAAAACCCTATTTTCGGCTATATGTTTTGCAGTTAACACCAACACCAGTTGAGTGCAGTGCAGTACCCATCACTTGAGCTTCTCCACAACCACCACTAGCCAAGCCAGCCACCCTATACTGGCATAAATAAATTGATCCATTGAGAAAGAAAAGAAATGCTTGTTTCGGTGTTTATGGCTCTGCTTCTACCAAGCGTGGCCATCAGCGCTGTTTTCGTAGTGTACATATGCCTGTTATGGTATGCTACGAATAACCAGGAGCACCCCGAGGTTCGGTTGCCGGTGAAGCAGGTTTCGCAAAAGGGGTTCTCAGCCTCTGAACTGGACAAGTTGCCTAAAATCACAGGGAAAGATCTGACGACGGAGAGGACGGAGTGCGCGGTGTGTCTTGACGAGATAGAGGGAGAGCAAGTGGCCCGGCTGGTTCCCGGTTGCAATCACGCTTTCCATCTGCTATGCGCCGACACCTGGCTTTCTAAGCACTCGTTTTGTCCAGTTTGCAGGGCCAAACTCCACCTTCATCAGGATCTTCCTCAGTACTCTGTCACTTGTTCTGAAAATCCCTGCTAATTAATTAAGATGCAAGAAAAGGAGAAGAAAGGATATCAGTGAGAAGCAACGACTCTGTTTTCATCAGATCGTGGGTGATTAAATGTCCACTAATGTACTAGGGTACTGTTGAATATGCCGTGATATTCATCGCCTGTACTTTGATTGCTAATGCTACTGCTACTGTATGTATCAACTTAATTAATTATTAATTTATTGTTTTGAATATTATTAAAAAATGGTAGGTTGGGTTGGGTCACCTGGGCCGGGTCTCATAATTGTGCTGTGCGAGTGCTACACTGCACAGTAGCATATCTCCGGCGGGAGTGCGCCGTTGGGCCACGTCAGTGGATTGGTGAATGGTAATTGACCAGTTTGACCCCAAATTCCATGCGCTGGGTGCGCTGGCAGTATTCATTCAATCTCCCACCCACCTGAAAGTTGAAATTCGTCCACCAGAAATGATTTGATTGCACGCTACGTGTCTAAATTTGTGTCCAAATTATTTGATTGCAATTCGCTAGCTGTGTATGTTTCGAGTTCAAAGGGGAATTGATAACTCCAGCTGTAACACTTATTACTGTGAGAACAGCTTTTCATTTAAGTATACAATAAAATTCTACACAAATTTCCAATATTGTGAGATACAGATACAGATGACTCGACTTCTCCGGAATCTTTGGGTTGAGTTTACACACTCGGAAAAGGTAGGAAATGGTGGAGTGCTTAGCTGTCTAAATGGTTCGTATTACCATTACATTCTAGATTTATTGTTCAGTTTATTCCAAATTAACTAATTCCCCATGTGGCTTGGACTAAATTTAATTTTATATTTGTTTCATCTAATTCTAGTCTTAAATGAAATTGCTAATACTAGACCCATCAAAAACACCTTGTTAGGAGGGGACTAATAAACCCATGTGAAAGGAAAGGATTAACTAGTCCTATGCTCACCAATGTATAAAATCTAGATTGTATTGTAATAATAACTAGCCACTTGGCACATAAGCATGCGCCAATTGGTTTTTATTATTTATTTATTTATAATAGAATTAAGAAAAAATAACATAGGTAGTTATGTTCTATAAAAGTAGAACTTATTATCTGATTTTGTTTTTTAATTTTAATTTGTTTAATATGAAAAATGTGAATTTACTATATGATCCTCATTTAATTAATAATTTCAATTTTTAATGTTTGAATTAACTAATGACATTTTTTGATATTTTGAATGTTTCACCATTCTCTACCTCTTACTTTATATATATACTAGCCTATCTGCACACACTTCCGCGTGTGCGAGAGGCTTTTTTTTAATCACGCGCACTACGCGTGACTTACAAAGTTTCATAAATATTTTTTCCCAAATGTATTTATATAGATGTTCGTTTCAACATTTTCATATTTTAATCGCTCGTGTGTGATATATCGTCGTCTTAAGAGTTTTCCTTTGATTGCCCATATTTTTCTAGACGTCCATCTTAGCAGTTTACACGCTATAAAATAAAAAAAGAAACTACTAAGATGGACTTCTAGAATAATATGGGCGATCAAAGGAAAACTCTTAAGACGACGATATATCACACGCGCGCGATTAAAATATGAAACTATTGAAACGAACATCTATATAAATACATTTACGAAAAAATATTTATGAAACTTTGTAAGTCACGCGTAGTGAGCGTGATTTAAAAAAAGCCTCTCGCACACGCGGAAGCGCGTGCAGAGAGGCTAGTATTAATAAGGCCTATGAGATATCCATTTCTCAATGATTTATACTGTCTGGCAAACTTTGCTTCTTTAGTGCTCTGCCTACTCTTTTCAACTCGTTCAATTGGTATCAATTTGATTGATTTTAAACCTACATTTCTCAACTTTAACCAGTTGTCTTCACCACCCAAATAAAAATGTCCAATTGGTTACATGGTTTTAATTTTGGGTTTTGTTTTCATTTGTTTTCTTTTGTTTCTGCTGAATTGAAATTACCCCTATTTTGATATTCTCTTCCAACGATCTATCCATTGCTAGGTATGGGTATACGCCCACATTCACCTACCTTCACATTACTTTCTTTGTTTGCTAATTATACTTTTTTTTTTCTTTTATAGCGTGTAAACTGCTAAGATGGATGTCTAGAAAAATAAGGTTGATAAAAGAAAATACTTGAGACGGTCATTTAAAAAAATACAATTACAAAAATAAAAAAATTGTAAATCGCACGTAGCGCATGATCAAAAAAATATCTCCCGCACACGCGTGGGAGGTTAGTGGTATTATAAATAAAGAGGATATAAGCAACATTACAATAACAGATTCAATACTAATAATATGTAGTTTGACCCAAAAAAAAAACTAATATTATACAGAAAAGTTTAATTAATAAGTTAATATATATAAAAACTAATAATATATAGTTTAATTAAGATTTTGCATGCCCCATTCTTGGAGAGGCTTGGACATAAAGCCCCCTTTTAATATGGAGGGTGAGCATGGTCTTGTAACGGGCTACTTCGTTGTCACTCATCACTCAGCTTGAACATGTAGCGGCCCCAAAGCACGGCAGAAAATATCAAAGCCTCTCTATAAGCACAGTCCTTTACCCATACAAATCCTTGGACCGGCCTGTTTAAATCAACAAATTTATTTAGAATTCCCCATAACAAATTTATAAGTCTGCTCATCCTTTGTGCATGTTTTAATAAAATGTGGCATGTGTTACTGATCATATCAACATTAATTTATTTCTTACACTGAAGGATGTGAATTTGAAAGGGCTTTCCTGTTGGAAAATACCATTTTCATCAAGCCATCTCTCTGGCCGAAATTCTTCTGCATCATCACCCCATGTATATATTTCATCCTGCCCATGCCGTAAGCATGGTATGCCACCACATCACCTGTTTTGACACTAAATCCATCTGGCCAGGTATCATCAGAAAAACAAACCTTCCCATTCTACGACAGCATCAAACAAACTTGTTAAAAGTAATTATAAAGATTCAAATTCAAAAAGGTCAGCAGACAATGTTGTTTATATCAGCTTAGCCTTGCAATTGTGGTTGAATTAGAGTTACCAGTGGGAGAGCAGGGTACAGCCTGGTTGTCTCATTCAAAACTGCAAGGAGATATTGCATTTTCTCAAGGGCCACTTCAGTAAGGTTGGCTGAAAGCTCATCAATGCTTGAATTATCTTTCAGATTTTTTACTTCTCTAACTTCCTGTGAAATCTTTTCTTGTATATGAGGATGCTTGCAGAGCATATAAATAAACCATGTAAGAGTGCTAGCCGTTGTGTCTTTTTCGACTGCAATGAGGCTGAGGACCATGTCTCGCAAGTACTTTGGATCAGTCTCTTCCAATGCCAAAAGCCTTTAAACAATGTCTACTTTCTTCAACTGCCATTCGTTCAATTATATTAATCAATTATAACATGAAAGTAATTCAATCCAGGACAAACATGACCTAGAAGGTAACTCACTGCTCGTAGCTTATCTTCTGAATTATGAACTGTTTCAATCTTGTCTTTCATTCATTTATAAACAAATTGATCTACGATTTTCATATTCTTCCTTAATGCTGCTTCTGATCCAATGTTTAAGAACCCTCTGATCTTCCAGGAGAAATCAACATAACCATACATAGTGCTTTCGTTTGCCACATCAAAAGAATTGGAAAACCGAGTACCTTCTTCATTTGTCCCACACAAAGTGTCTAGTTGGACATCAAGGAGACTGAAAGAGAAACATATCCACCAATAGTCGCCTCCTCCAGCAACCACAAAGTGCAAGAAACCAAAGGCCAAAGTGTTTCATTCAGCTAATAGCTTGTATACCTCAAACGCAAAGTCTTACCTGCACATAATCTACAGCTTGTATACCTCAGTTGCAACCACTACCACGTCTCTAGAATTGTATTTGGAACAAAAATTAGAGCAGTTTCGAGAGAGAAGATTCTTACCTGATGCTCTGCCAAGGGGGGATTCTGGACCCCCATCTCCAATAAGTTAAAACAAAATAGGAGAAGAAACCGAAACAACTATAAAGAACAGAAAAAAAGGAAGGTAAAAAACATAATGAAGAACTCATTTGTGAAGATTGGCGAAGAAGTTTTGATTATGCAGTTGAAATTTGGAACTGCAACAGTTATGAGGAAATAGCAGCAGTCATGTGGAAATATAACTCCAAGTCTAACGTGTGCTTTTTTTTTTTCTTTTCTTTTATTATTCCTTATTCCTGATGCTTCCCCACCCTTCTCTCTGTTTTGAGTCTCTACTGCGCTGCTTTCTCCTCCAACAAATGACCCACCCCATATCTTTTTCTAAAGTCAGCCTTCATCCTTTCTAAAAATGCAATAGATATCTGTTTGCCAACAACACAGTACGCAACAAATCCCATAAAACACACTTAGATGCATACAAAGGATAAATTAAACTAGTTAAATCGAAAAATTGAAAAAGAAAAATAATAATAAATATCTTGCAGATACTCTAAGATAGGGAAGTCTTCCCCTGCTTCTTCCTACAAAAGAAAAGAGATAAACTTCAACAAAGGTGGAGGAATTCATTGTGTGGAAGAAGACGGAGGGCATGAATGGATGAATGAATTAGTGTTAGCATAATCAAATTAAACCGCAAGGCCATGTTTCAAAGATAAAGAGAGACATCAATGCAATGCAATCAAACTTGAGGAGAAGGGAAAAGAATTAAAAATCAAAATCAAATCGAGAGTAAATAGAATTAAAAATCCAAAACATACTGAAGAATTTAATTGTCAACCAACCGGTTGCCAATTATCTTCATAGGTCTTCCTTGCACAGAAAAACTAAAGTCATTGACAGGAAAATAAAGAAACCATTTGGCGAACCAAAAACAAAATCAAAATGAGAGAAAACTAAAAACAAAACCAAAATGAGAGAGAGAGATTCATACCATTCACATCAAACCCATCAAATGTAAATGCTCTTCATTGGTGCTCTGGAGAAAGATCATGTATAATAAAAAATTAGAGATAGTAAACAGATCA